AAATACCCTCTCATACCTCTCATATTCTTCACACCAAAACTCAATTCTCTTCTTCTCTCTTACTCTCTTTTCCCTCAACCTTTTCCTACTTTTCTTCTCCTCTTTTCTAAGAGAAAATCAGCCTGTATATCTTTAGATCCAATTTTAGGGCACTTCTGGTCATTTTTAGGGTTTTTCTATTTCACCAAATATTGTTCCTCTCAAAAACTCCTTGAGGTTAGGCTCAAGAATCACCCAATTCGAAGTTATATTAAAGGAGTTATAGTCTCTGCAAGTTCTGCCTATTCTTTTCAATGCAAATTCAATTATCTTTAATCCTGTTTTTTTATTTCCTTCATGGTTAGTTTTCTAAAATATAAATACCTATTTCAAATTTATAATTTTATATTAAAGTATTATTTTTAAAAAGAGTTTTGATAGTCCATGCACATTAGATTTGGGTTTATGTCTAAAGATGTTCTAATAACCTTATGGTTATGTTAATTGCAAGGTGTATTCGTTATTATTTTGAAAGTGCGAAGTGTTGATTAAGATTTGGAATTAAGGTTCGTTTAGGTGGCTAGATACCTTCGAAATTGTAGATGAATAAGCATATTGTGTGATTTTAATTAAATTGTTTTGAATTATAATTTCTAAATTAACCATGAGAATTCACGTTTTAATAAATATGTTTGAGAATGGATTTCTATCTTGTTTTGAATGGTTTGAAATTATTTATTATGTTTAAAGGAATTTGGCTTTTAAAAGTATGTTGGATTGATTTAATGAGTTTTTAAAAAGGTTTGATTTTGAAAGCATGTTGAATTAAATATAAAGGAGTTTTGAATTGTTTTATTATAAAGATTGAAATTTTTTATTTGAAGAGGATTTATTGAATTATTTATAAAAGTTTTACAAGCATGATTATTATATTAATCCCACTATGCAAAGTCATTAAAGACTATGCACTTTGTATGACCTAGTCTTTCCTCAAGAATAGCCACCCCCCCAGGTATTTTCATTCCATTCCCTAGTTACCACCACACCACCATACCACCACCCTCCCCACCACCGGAACAACTAGCCACCCCACCGAAACCCCTCCCCTCACCCTCTCCCACCACCGAAACCCCTCGCCTCACCCTCGCCCACCACTGAAAACCCTCGCCTTACCCTCGCCCACCTCCGAAATCCCTCACCTTACCCTCGCCCACCACCGAAACCACCGAAAACCACACCATGTTTCTAGGGTTTTGCAAGGTTGGGGGAGGTTTTTTTAGGGGAGGGGAGAGTTGTGCGGGCACGGGGAGCGGCGGAGAGGGGCGGGGGAGGTGTAGCGAAGGGTGGCTAATGGTGGGGGAGGTGCGTCGAGTGGTGGGGTGACAAGAAATGGTGGGAAGTGAAGCAATTAGGTAGTTATGTGGTGGTGGTGTGGTGGTTGGATTGGTGGCAGTGTTTCCCTTTGTTTTTAAAACAAACAACATAGAAAATTTAAGGTAATTTCATTCCATATTTTCCATTCCCTTTATTCATTCCATTCCATTTACCCTGCGTAAACCAAACGACCCCTAAATATACTAGCTCGGGGGGTGTGCACACTTAGGAGAGGAATTGAGTTTTTAAAAAGAGGAATTGATTTTATAAATCATTACTATTGAATTATTGAGTTATTAGAATTTGTATTGAATTATGAGTTTGGAATTATTTGAGAAGTTTGGGAAACAGTTTTGAATTATGAGTTTGGAATTATTGGAATTGGTTTTAAAAGCATGTTTGCTAATAAATTGAGTTTACTTATCTTGCACTAATCGTACCTAGCATATTTAGCTAATCCGTATTTCCTATTTGTTTTGGCTCGCCCTGTTACTTTAATAGTAAGCAGTGTTGACTATTTTCAGGTGGAGTCATGAATGATCATATGGGAGTCCCGGGATTTTCTTCACCTAGTTAGGAATGTTGGTTTTGTCTTTATTTTGAGTACTCATAACAATGTTACTATTTTTAAAAGTAATAAACAAAAGTTGAGTTTCCGCTGCAAGTTTTGTTATTGAGTTAAGTATTTTGAGTAGCCTTGCGGAATCACCCGGTGGTAATACTCCTAAATCTATCTCTACGATATAATTATACATATTATACTAGTATTTTCGTAGAGGGAGATTTGGGGGTGTTACAGTGTTGTACTCTTTTTCCTTCGTTAAAGTTTTTATCCCACATGGTTTTTCTTGGCAAGGTTTTAATGAGGCAGGTAAACATATAGGTGAAATATCAGTAGTATTTATTTTTTTTACCTATGTAAATTTTAGGTAGGAGTCATCATATAGAAATCCGTTCAAGGGGGAGCGTTGAATACGCATCGTATGCGTAATATGAACGGATTAAGAATATCGCCAAATATCACTGCTAAACTTTCCCATGCAAGAATGAATATTGCCTCTCAGAACCTCATGTTCGATTAGACATTTCACTACATGTTTAATATATCGAGCAAATATTATTCATGCAGGGTATCGTAAACACAAATTCTGATTAAGGCAGACTCTCATTACAGGTATTTAAAGTTACCCTTATATATTCAAAAGTTACCATTTTCCTAACATATATTTTAAATTTCAAAAAGACTTATAATGTGTTAGATGAATTACATTATCCTTCATAACATATACTTATTAGAAATTACACATTAAAATATAATCAAATTCATTACAAATTAAAGTTATCCTTACAGGAATTAAAATTACAATAAAAATGGTTAAAATATTGACCGTCTAACAATAAAATTAATGTAAAGCCACCTTTGAATCTTACACAAAACTTAGGCCCTATTCTTTTGAGTTGTTCTGCTCTACTTTGCCCTGCTCTACTCTGCTAAAATATGCTTTGCTCTGCTCTGCCTTATGCTCTACTTAAAATAATAATTAATAAAGATAATTATAATAATAATAATTAATATATAATAAAAATAATAATAATAATAACTAATATTTATAGATGATAATTAATATTATTACTAATAATTAATATTTTATAATAATAATAATAAATATATAATATTAATTGATAATAATAACTAATATTTAATGATAATAATTAATATTTTATATTATATAACACATTTCTAATGTTATTAAAAGAGAAAAAAAATCTTAAGAAAATCAAATAATAATAATAATAATAACAATAATAATAATAATAACAATAATAATAATAATAATAATAATAAATAATGCGATATTAATAATAATAATAATAATAATAATAATAAAAATAGTAATAAATATAATAATAATAATAATAATAATAAAAATAGTAATAATAATAATAATAATAATAATAATAATAATAATAATAATAATTGTGTTCTTTGCAACCGGTTGGGTGTTCCCTTGTTCTCCGTTTCGACACCGTGTTTTGCTTGCTCAAGGGTTTTTGATGGGGATATTTATGGGGATCATGCCGTGTCTTGTGCTGGGATGGTGGGTATTAAGCATCGACACAACGTTGTTCATGATACCCTTATTGATATTTGTTTTCGCTGTTGGAATTCTGCAAGAAAGGAGGTTAACATTGGGTTGACTGGAGGGAACGACGGGGCTCTTCGACCAACAAATGTGTTACTTTATTCCTTGGATAGAGGCCTTGATGTATGTGTTGACTTGACGGGGTTGTCTTCTTTGACACAATATGGGTTGTCTGACTTCGTTCCTGGTCAGGTTGTGTCGGTTGCGGCTCAGCGGAAGCGAGATAAGTATGGGGCGCGTTGTAGGGCTATTGGCTATGGTTTTTTTCCTTTCTCCTTTTCTTCATTGGGGGAATTAGAGAAGGATGTTGTTGTGTTGCTGAAGCGGGTTCAGGCGTTCCTTATGACTCAAGATATTGGTGCTCGTGCAACTTCTCACATCTTCAACAGGATCAGGTTCGCTATAGCTAGAGGGGTGGGGGCCCAAATTGTATCTCGGCTCCCCACTAATTTCTTGTAAATCGATTGACTTTGTAGGTTTCATTCCCTTCTCCTTTTCTTCGCTTGGGGAATTAGAGAAGGAGGCTGTTGCGTTGTTGAAGCAGATTCAGAGGTTCTCGGCGACGCAAGACATTGGGGCTCATGCTTCATCTCATATCTTTAGTAGTGTAGGCTTTGCTATAGCTAGAGGAGTGGGGGCCCAAATTGTATCTCGGCTTCCCACTAATTTATTGTAGGCTGTATGACTTTGTCTGTTTTTGAGTTATTATAGTAATAATAATAATAATACTAATAATAATAATAATAATAATAATAATAATACTAATAAAAATAATAATAATAATAATAATAATAATACTAATAATAATAATAATAATAATAATAATAATAATAATAATAATTATAGTAGTAATAATAATTATAGTAGTAATAATAATGTTATTATTAATAATAATAATGATAATAATAATAATAATAATAATAATAATAATAATAATAATAATAATAATAATAATAATAATAATAATAATAATAATGCTGAAATCTTCTCTGCTCTACGCTACCCTGCTCTGCTGAATCTGCTCTACTCTGCTGAAATCTGATCTGCTCTACCCTTATTATATTATAAATATCCGCATAATTTGACTAAAATATGCACAACAATTATCTGAATATTTAAACTCTCCGCCTCTCCTCTTATTCTCTTCCTCCTCAAAAACCCTACAAAAAAAAATTCTTGTTTCTAGGGGCTACCACCATCCTTTTGGTTGATGGTAAGCCCCTAATCTCTTAGTTTCTTACTAGTTTTTTACTTTATGATCACAATAATTGTAGTCTCTCTATTTGAGAGTTTTTCTACCCTTATATCGGGTTATTTCTACCGTATATCGGGTTAATTTTTCTCTCTTTTTGAGAGTTTTGGGGCTATGTTCTTTAATTTCGTACGAAAAATTGATTTGTTGATGAGGAGTTGTGCTGTGTTGCCATGGAGGTTAATTCTACATCTACAATCAATTGTATCGAATGGTGTTCGATTCCAAAGGTACAATAGATCGAAAGACCCCCTAGTGAAAAGCTGTATCAAACAGCGGTGTGAAAGAGGGCATTTAGAAATGTCATATCTAGATAACAACGATCGTAGTTTTGTCAAATTAGAATATTATTCGATTCAGTTTGTATTGTATTTGTTAGCTTTGATTTATATTGTAGATGTCGTATGACTCTTCCATTAATGAATTAATTTTCTTTTTAAAAAAAAAATAAAAAAAATAATCTAAATATTTAAATCTTTATTTTGGTCTATTTGAAATCCTTTATCGTAAAAAGAATAAAATAATAACATTCCCCCAAAAGTAAAGTTGTTCTTAAACCCTTGAAAAACCCTCTGTATTTCCCTTCCTAGCTTCCTCCCACTCTCTTTAATCACAGAAATGGCAATCTCCAAACCCTCCTCATTTCTCCACCACCTCAAAACCCTCCCTTTCCACCACCACCACCACCACCACCACCGCATTTTCCGGCGCCAACCCCAAATCTCCCTCTCCTTCCGCCTCCTCTCCTTCGCCACCCCCGACGACATCGCCGCCGAGCGCCGCAAACGCAAGCGCCAGCTCCGTATGCAACCCCCCTTATCTCCTACTCGCCACAACAACAACCAACAACAACAACAACGAAAATACCCTATTTCAAACCCTAACCCTAATTCCCCCAAAATCCCTGATCATGTCTTCCTTCTCACTGGTAATCGCCTCAATTTGCACAACAAGATTCTCAAGCTTATTCGCGAGAATGATCTTGATGAAGCTGCTTTGTACACTCGTCATTCTGTTTACTCCAATTGCAGGCCTACTATTTTCACTTGCAATGCCGTTTTGTCCGCGCTTTTGCGCCAATCCAGGTACTCTGATTTCTTGTCGCTTCATAGGTTTATTACTCAGGCTGGAATTGCTTCCAATTTGATTACTTATAATTTGTTGATTACTTTGTATTGTGAGTGTCGGAAAGTTGATACTGCTTTAGAGCATTATAAGAGGTTGATTGAGGATGCCCCTTTCGAGCCGTCGAAGGCTACCTACAGGGTTTTGGTCAAGGGGTTGGTGGATAATGGGAGGGTTGATAAAGGGGTTGAGGTTAAGGATGAGATGCTGTCGAAAGGGTTCGAGGCGGATGAGGTTGTTTATGGGTATTTGATGAATGGGTTTGCTAAGGATAAGGATGGGGATAAGGTTTTTGCGCTTTATGAAGAGTTAGGGGAGAAATTAGGTGGGGAGGTGACCAAGGGGATTGTGTTCGGGCCGTTGATGAAAGGGTATTTTTTGAAGGGAATGGAGGATAAGGCGATGGAGACGTTTGAAAAGATAATGGGGGAGAATTCGAAGGTTAAGATGGATGATACGGCGTATAATTTGGTTCTTGATGCGTTTTGTAAGAATGGCAAGTTTGAGGAGGCGTTGAAGTTGTTTGAGAGGATGAAGAACTTGCATAATCCGCCGTGGTTGTTGACTGTGAATCTAGGAAGTTATAATGTGATGGTAGAGGGGTATTTCTTGGAAGGGAAATATAAGGAAGCGGTTGATGTTTTTATGAGTATGGGTGAGAAGAATTGTAGTCCTGATATTATATCATTTAATAATTTGATCGAGTTGTTGTGTAACCATGATTTGCTTCCTGAAGCGGAAGAATTGTGTGGAAGGATGAGTGAGAAGGGGGTTAGTCCGGATGAGGTGACTTATGGCTTGTTGATGAGTACGTGCTTGAAGGAGAATCGGCATGATGATGCAGCGGGGTATTTTATGAAAATGATTGATGAGAATTTAAGACCTAATTTGTCTACTTACAACAAGCTGGTTGAAGGGTTGGTTCAAGTAGGAAAAATTGATGAAGCTAAGTCCTTTTTTGACTTAATGGTTCAGAAGCTCAAGTTCAATTATGCTAGTTATGAGTTTATGTTCAAGGCTTTGTGTGATGTTGGAAGGGTTGATGATGTGCTCAAGATTGTCAGTGATATTTTGGACGACGGGAGTATTGACCTTAATAAAGACATGCAGGAAATTGTCAAAGATGGATTGAGAAGGGAAGCACGAGAGGAGGAGGAACTGGACAGGTTGATTGAGCAAAAGGAGAAGGAGAAGGAAGAAGCTAAAAGAAGGGAAATTGAAGAAGCTGAAAGGGCCAAAGCCAGTGCAAAAGCTGCAGTTGCTTCTTTACTTCCTTCTAAGTTATTTGGAAACAAAGAGGACAGCAAAGAGTCTGCAGCGCTTTCTGAAATTGCTGATACAGTGTTAAATGATGAAACACAAGCCAGTGGAGAAATTGTACCAGAAGGCAATACAGCAGATGAATCTGGGTCTAAGAGCCTTGACTCTGAACAGGCTACAGCTTGATCTTCAAATAATCCGCAAATGCAAAAAGGTCTTTCTTGGCTTCCTTTTTTATGACACTGCCATATAAAATCATAGCTTTTTCTGTAATATGTTATAACTCAGATTTGTTAGCTATATTTTTTCACCTAATGATGATCTGATAGCTTTCAAGTCATTTTGGCTAGTTTATGATATTAGCTATAAACCTGATTGCAACTCACTGACTAACGCTTTAGTGGTAGTCTTATTCAGACTACTATCTGATGCTCAATTCATGCTGCTGTTCTTGCCTCATACATTCTGTTTGAAAGTTGCTTATCTATTCACAATTCATTTTTTTTGCTTTTTTGCTAGGGCATATTTAATTACTCTGGAAACATAGTTATTTATGGAAAACTTTTGAATTTAAAATGAAATGAAGTGATTGTGTGGCAAACATTGGAGACTAGGAGTTCATCTAGTAATTGAATTTATCATTTTCATCCCTGAGCCCCTGTGTTCCAACAAAGAGAACTCTTTGAAGTTAAGACTTTAGGCTAGGCATCTGGCTGGTTGCAGCTACAGGAAAGATCACCATTTTTGAAATTCTTTCTGTTGTTTGTAGTGAGATGTTATGAGAACTTTTGATTGTTAAGACGCCTGATGTGCATGTTATATAAATAAGGACGGGTTCCTATCGAGCACAACATACTGATATGTATGTTCTCTGTCTAATCCAAATAGTTTCTGGCAGAGTGATAAGTGACCGTAATGTATATATGGAAAGTACTAAAATTATATTGTAAAGGTATCTCTTCTGTTTTGGCCCTTTTGGGTGACATGGTGATTAGTGATCCTAATGAATATATGGAAAGTACTAAAAACTACATTGTAAAGATACTTTTTCTGTTTTTGCCCTTTTGTGTGACTTGGTTTTGATAAGTTGCACAGTTTCATTTAAGTTAAATGGGAACTTGTTGCAGTTAGTTCCATACTTGATGCATTCTTCAAATCTTAGAGCATAGGTTAAATTACCAACTGAAGTTTTATTGATTTCAAACCACATTAGGGGTGGGTTTCTTAAGTAATTGAATTGCCTCTTGAAGTGATGAATGATTTTGGCCGCTATTTGTGCTCAATTGAAGGATGGTGAACAAGGTTCTTCATGGAAAATTTGGTATTGCTGGCATTCTTTGCAAGTATCACTGTAGTCCAACTTTTGATTCAATTTGTAATTTTGAATGAAGTGAGCATGTTGGGCATCAAAAGAGTGTTATGGCTCAATACTATTAGGAAAAGGGTCTCACAATATGAGGAGCTTATAGAAGAATCTAGAGTTTGTTAGGTAGGAATTCTCTATAAATAAAGCTAATTATGGAGAGAGTAATTGTGATGAATGATGATGATGATAATTAGTATTATGTTGTGTATTTTTCTAGGTTGTACTATATCTTTTATGTAATCTTTCCACCTTATCAATCTAATTTCATTTCCTATACTTGGTATCACTGTTAAAATCAGTATTTCCTTGCTTATATCACCATTAATGGCAGAAAGCTAAGGAAGAAGAAGATGGTTGTTGCTATTAAAAAAAAAGAAGATGATTGTATTACTAGGATGTATAATACAGTAAATGCAATGATAATTCTAGTTTAGAGTGGTGGATTCTCTCCTAATTATGAGCTTTCAAGTGGCTAACTCTCCCACTAAAGTACTAAACACTAGATCTCTCCTTTATTTATATAGAAACTAACTTGCCAACTTATTCCTCATGGCCCAGGCTACTACTAACCAACTTAGTTTTCCTAAACTACTCTTCCACTCAATTAGTTCAAAAACAATATCTGCCACCCAAACTTCCACCCTGTCCTCAAGGTGGATTGAAATTAGCAGCTTTCTTTTGGCCTTGACAGTTTAGGGTAGTGTTAGAACTGACTGAAATCAAGGGTCTGTTTTAGTGAAAGTTGTAGCTCCTTATTGTTGAGTGCAAGTGACCCATCTCGTAAAACAAAGTTCAGCAATTTGTTGTGGCAGGAAATCATGGTTTGGGTGAAGTGGGTGGTAATTCTATTGAGGTTGTAAGGTTGGGGGTTAAGAGAATTCAAGAAAAATTTTGACAGTCAATAACAAAGGGGTTATTTTATCTTGATGCTCTCCTGTCCTCTTAATTCCCTTTAAGCTACGCTACATGTCTTAACCCCCCCCCCCCCTCCCCAAAAAAAAAAAACACCCAATAATTGACTACTTTCTTGTGATAATAAATTAATGCTCCCTCCTTAAACAGCTGGAACACTTCACCTTATGAGTGTTTTGAAACAGTTTTTGGTTCTCTCATTCTCTCCCCCTATCACTTGGACTCCTTTTTTTTTCTTTCTCTCTCTCTCTCTCTCATCATCATCATCACATGTGGTAACTGTTCTCGAATGCAGGAAGTTTGTATCTAAGGTAAAGCAAAAGGCTTATTTGACCATAATTAATGTGAAATAATTCTGGTGTATCTGGAGTATTGACTAGGTTTATTGCTTGGTTTGTCCATACTGTTTTTTTTTTGGTTTGCGACTATACAGCATTTTTTTTTAATATAGGCTGGCTGTTTCCTCTGCTAATGTGTCTGTGTTTAGGAGAGCCTAGGATATATGCAAATATATTTATGTTGTCATGTCTGACAGTAGTGGTCCGATCTGAGCAACAAAGATGATTCAATTCGAATTTGAGCTGATATAAGGTTCCCATTCTAGTTATGTCTTGAAAGAATTTGTGCTGGACACTCACTCTTCTCTTGTCGCAGCAATTTATCGTCCCAGACTCCATATTTTCATTTCTAGTACTAATTCTTCCTTGGTTTATGCATCTGAGTGCCTCTTACTGCTTGAAAATGGGGGTGTATTGTGTTTAACACTGTAACAGGTTACTGAAATAGTGGAACTGGCACTGTTTAGTAGCATTGGTCAGACAATGTGCCCTATACAAGATCTCCCAAAGGGACATTTGCTGGTCTCTTGATGAAGTTGGTTCGATGTGGTTATTAAGAGCATGCAAAAGATTGAAATGATATGTGTAAACAAAACCGCCCAATGCCCCATTACACTTATTTTTCTCTTCTTTTGCATTGGCTATGATCAATCTGTGTAAACAAAATTACAGATTGTTAACAACAGACGGAATCGACAACATTTAAATACCACGTACCTGTGATCAATGCTGCAGGCGTGTACCTGCGATCAATGTTGCAGGCATGTTTGTACCTGTGATTTACCCAGAATCTGGATAACACAGCACTTGAGGCTTCAGCATGCATGTGATCCCTGTTTGGTGTAGGCGATTTGCCTGTAGAGCCACTAAATCAACCAGATTAGTTTCTTTATTTGTCTAACTGGTTTGCTCAGTTCATGACTCAGGATTTGTTTCTTCATTGTCAATTGTAAGGGCCGTCTTTCTGGACTAAGGGTCTGGCTATGTCTCTTCGTTCTTGGTTCCATTTTTTGCTACTTGTGCAAAAAATGGATATACAGAGTGCTATACGGGATATGATTGTAGTGCATCATTTACATTCACATTTTGCCAGAAATTTCCAAACTCAAATGATTTGCATTAGGCTATTTTTTGTATCCTTCAAATATTAAATGACTATGGGGGTGTTTGGTTCGCGGAATAGATATAAGTTATGGGTTTAGAATGACCAAAACCCATGCCATATGTTTGGTTGTCAAAAGTATGAATATACCTCAAATTCATGAGGTATGGGTTTAGAAACCTTAGGGGATGTTTGGTTGTCAAAAGTATGAATATACCTCAAATTCATGAGGTATGGGTTTATAAACCTTAGGGGATGTTTGGTTGTCAAAAGTATGAATATACCTCAAATTTATGAGGTATGGGTTTAGAAACCTTAGGGGGGAGGAGGGTTTGGCCCATTCCATTCCCTTAGGTATCAAATAAAAGGAGGGAATAGTGAGAGATTTCATTACATAATTGAACCAAACACATGGTATTAAGTATCAAGTTCCAACTCAATATCACCTTAATCCCATTCCTGATTTCAAACCCATATCACTCTGCGAACCAAACCCCCCTAAAGACTTTAAATTTGATGGCATATAGTTGGGTGAATTTTAATAGATTGTTAACTAATTGCGACATTTCTCATTATTTTTGATGTATTGACTACCGTATTTTCTAAGTTTTAATAGATCTGAGGTAAATGATGCATCCTTTAATCCTCTAACCGCTAACAGTAGCTCCATTCGTGTCCATAAAAATTCATGTCAATTTGTCATCCTTCTGATTCTATCATTTTCAGTAATTCATGAGCTATCTTATTACTTTCATTCCACTTATGACATTGTTCTATAAATTGGTATACATCTCACCTACCAACAATCAATAACCGCTAACAGCAGCTCCCTTCGTGTCCATAAAAATTCATGTCAATATGTCATCCTTCTGATTCTATCATTTTCAGTAATTCATGAGCTATCTTATCACTTTCATTCCACTTCTGACATTGCTCTATAAATTGGTATACATCTCACCTACTAACAATCAACCCCTCTTAGTAAATTTTCCTCTTGAATGCAATCAAAATAGAGGCTCCTAAGCTAAGCCAAAAATAGATACTAACTTTTCAACACAACATCCATGAATTTTCATCCAATATCTCCAGAAAATTTACAAGATGAGGCTTCCGAAGCCATCAATTACATAGCCCGTTACTATGAAAACGTACATGACTACCCAGTTCGAAGCCAAGTCGAATTCGTTTATCTTCGAGATCTCATACCCGAAAATGCCCCAACTCTACCTGAGTCACTAAGGCAGATTCTAGAAGATGTTGACAACAAAATTATGCCAGGTTTAACTCATTGGCAAAGTCCCAACTTCTTTGCATATTTCCCAGCAAGTGCAAGCAATGCTGCTTAGGTGGGAGAGATACTTTGTTCGGGACTTAATGTCGTTGGTTTCAATTGGATATCCTCCCCTGCTGCGACCGAGCTTGAATCCATTGTTATGGATTGGATTGGGAAACTACTCAACCTTCCTCAAGTATTTCTTTTCTCTAGTGGAGGTGGTGGTGTCATGCATGGTACATTATGCTTCTCGTTGTTTTATTTTACAATATATATATATGAAAATTTGACTTTTGGTACCTCGAAAATGGCCTGTGCTGGCTTTACGTACCCATCTAAAATTTTATTTTATTTTGGTACCTATCAAAGTTACAAAATATAGATTTTAGTACCACTTAACAGAATTCGTTAGAGTTTTATTAAGTGGGGCCCATTATCTAATTAATTAATAATTTAATTTTTTTTAAA